CTTTTTACTAAAGGGTCCATTTTCGTCAGGTGCAGTGAGTGGTTCATGCCTGTAATCCCAACTACTCAGGAGGCGAAGGTGAGAGGATCACTTGAGCCCAGGAGTTTTGAGTTTGGCCTGGGCATCATAGTGAGACCCCACTCTAACGAAAATAAAATTTTAAAGATTCCATTTTCTATAGCCTCAACAAATAGGACACTTTTGTTTCCTTTTTTGAGTTGGTGTCTCACTCTGTTGCCCAGCCTGGAGTGCAGTGGCAGTATCATGGCTCATTGCAGCCTTGAATTCCTGGGAGTCCACTCTCCTCTGCTTCCCAAGTAGATGAAACTACAGGCGTGTACCAGCACACCCAGCTACTTTTAAAAAATTTTTTGTAGAGACAGTGTCTCACTGTGTTGTCCAGACTGGTCTTGAACTCCTGGCCTCAAGTGATCCTCCTGCCTTGGCCTCCCAAAGTGCTGAGATTACAGGCATAAGCTAACAAATAGGAAATTCTTAACGATAAATCTGGCAAAATATGCATGAGACCTGTGCAGTGAAAACTATAAACTATTGCTGAGAGAAATTAAACAAGAACTAAGTAGGTGAAGAAATAGTACTGAGTGGAAGACTTAATATTATTATTAAGATAACAGTTCTCCCCAAGTGGACCTCTACATTCCACACAATCCCAGTGTAAATCCCAGATGCCTGTTATCATAGAAACTGATGAGCTTTCCTAAAGTTCCCATGGAAGCACTCGCTGTGCAGCAGTGCTTGCTAGTGGCTTTTTGTTTAGTCCTCAGATCTGGCAGCCGCCACTCATGCTGAGCTGCTAGGGAGGCCTTTTAGGTGAGCTCACAGGAACTTGTGAACTCATCACTCCGACTCATCGGAAAGAAATGGTTAGAGCAGCATGCCCAGTGATAGCTCTTCATTGGTGGGCTTAATGTGGAAACAAATGAGAAAGTCCTGGAAGCAGTGTTTGGCAGATATGGACAAATAGTGGCAGTACTCTTGAGGGAAGACCATGAAACTAAAGTTCCCATGGGAGTGCAGAGGACCAGAGCAACCGGAAGGATGCTGGAATAGAAAAAAACACGGGGTGGTGAACACCATCTGATTTCAGACTTATTACAAAGCCTGGAAGTCAGGGCAGGGTGGTGTCTGCTTAGTGATAAACAAATGGATGCATGATATGAGATGATGCTTAGACGTACACCCACACATTTATAGACAGCTGACTTTTGGCAAATTGAGAAAGGCGATTCTGTAGAGAATGAACAACTTTCTCAACAAATGGTCCTGCAACAATTGCACATCCATATGCAAAAAAGAAAAGAAATCGAACAACTCTATACCTATCTATACCTCTGCCTATACCTTATACCATATTAAAAAAATGAATCAGAGCCCCAAATATAAAGTGGAAAACCATATAATTAATTTCTGGAAGAGAAAATAGGGACAAGTCTTTGTAACCTTGAAATAGATGGAGGTTACTTAACATGACGTCAGAGCCCTAGCCATCTGTGAAAAACAGAAAAGCTGACTTCATGAAAATTGAAAACTGTCTCAAAGCGAGAGAAAATAAATGCAAAAGAATTTGTGTCTGGAATATGTAAAGTATTCTCAAACGTCAAGAACAAGAAAACAGCTCAGTAGAATTATGGGCAAAAGACATGAATGGACACTTCACTAGAAAAGATATACATATGAACGTGTATATGAAGCAAGTACATGGAAAGAGAGTCAGTATCATCAGTCATTCAGGAAATGCCCATTAAAACTGTGAGGAGATGCCGTGATGCACCTGTTGGAATTACAGAGTCAGATGGGCAGGTCACTCGCCAAACCAGATGCTGGAGAAGACGTGGCGGGTCTTAATTGCCATGCATCACTGGCGCAGATGCACAGCATCACACTCACTTTGGAACAGGTCTTGGCAGCCTCTTTTTTTTTTGAGTCGGCGTCTCATTCTGTCGCCCGGGCTGCTGGAATGCAGTGGTGCACTCACGGCCACCCCAGCATAGACCTGCTGGGCTCCGGCGATCCATCTGCCTCCGCCTTCCAAGTAGCTGGAACTACAGGCACGTGCCACCATGCCCGGCTAATTTTTTTTCTTTTATTTATTGTAGAGACGGAGTCTTGCCAAGTTGTCCAGGCTGGTCTTGAACCCCTGGACTCAGGCAGTCCTCTCGCCTCGGCCTCCCAAAGTGCTGGGATTACAGGCTGAGCCACTACGCCCAGCCTCTTGGCAGCCTCTTGGCAGCCTCTTATGGTCAGATGCCTGTCGTGTGAATCTGGCTTTCCACTTTCAGTACTTACCCCGGAACAAAAGCCTGTGTCCATACCAAAAAAGTGCTCTCTTTATACATGTGAAGGATGTTGCTAGCAGCTTTATTCATTACAACCCCCAACTGGAAAGCAGGGCACATTTTCCATCAGCTGGGGAAGGCATAAAGAAGTTGTGGCATGTGTATGCAGTGGGCTGTGATGTGACAGTGGAAAGTCATGAACTAGAGATGCGCACGCAGCATCACCGGTTAGTTGCGAGGTGACTGTGGAGTGGAGGGAGCCACACACAAAATAGCATACACTGTATCTTTCTGTGTCTGCAGAACTCTAGAAAATGTGAACTGTAGCAGCAAAAAGTAGATCATGAAGGGATGGGGTGACAGGGCGGCCGGGAGGGGATTGGAAAGGGGCACAGAGACATTGGGGGCGTGGCTGATGGATTGAGTATCTTAGTTGTAGTTAGGTGTTCATGGATCATGAAAGCAAAAGTGTAGGCTTGAAATATATCCAGTTTCAAAGTACAACTTTAAATATACGTTAAAGCGTAGACTTTAAATATATACAGTTAAGGCTGGACTCGGTGACTCAACCTGTAATCTCAGCACTTTGGGAGGCCGAGGAGAGTGGATCGCCTGAGCCCGTGGGTTCGAGACCTCATCTCTACAATAAAAGTGAAAAAAAATTAGCCAGGCATGATAGCACGCACCTGTATTTGGCTTGGCTACTTGGAAGGCAGAGGTGGAAGGATTGCCGGAGCCCAGCAGGTCGACACTGGGGTGGCTGTGAGCGTGCCCCTGCACTCCAGCCTGCGCGATGGAGTGAGACTCCAACTCAAAAAAGTAAAATTAAATGAATAAATAAATATATATATACAAATAATAAAGTCAATTATATCTCCACAAGACTGTTTAAAACAAAGTATGACCGCTGGAACGCTTAGATTGAAAGAGACTTGGGAGGCATAGCAACCAAGTGAATGTGTGGAGTTTGTTTCCTTTTTTTTTTTTTTTTTGAGTTGGCGTCTCACTCTGTCGCCCAGACTGGAGTGCAGTGGCCGCTCCCAGCCACCGCAGCCTCGACCTGCTGGGCTCCGGCGATCCTTCCGCCTCAGCCTTCCAAGGAGCTGGAACTATAGGCGCGCACTACCACACCCGGCTAATTTTTTTTATTTATTGTAGAGATGAGATCTCGCCAAGCTGCCCAGGCAGATCTCGAACCCGTGGGCTCAGGCAATCCACTCACCTCAGCCTCCCAAAGCGCAGGATTACAAGCTGAGCCACCGAGCCCTGCTGGAGTTTGTATCTTAATCCAAACAAGCCAGCTATTGAAAGACTTTCTGTGGACTACCGGGGAAATGGTAGTATAGTCTGCGTATTGGATAATGTCGATTAATCATTGTTAATTTTGTCAGGTGAGACTGTGGTATCTAACAAAAGTCCGTTTCTGTTAGGAATGTATAGTGGAGACTCTTTGGGTGAAATTTTATGATGCTTGTGACGTGCTTTCAAATCCTCTGATGTAAGGGGGGGCAGATGAAAAATATAGGTAAAACAGCTTTGTGGTAGATACGCAGGGAGAACTTGATGGAATGATTATCTTTTGTGTATTTAGATTTTCCTCTAAAACTTATGTGTTTTCATGAATTTTTGAAATTCTCCTGGTGGAAGCCAAGGCCTCCCTGGCGGGCTCCTTGCTCCTTCTACAGCAGTCCTGCCCTTCCCACAATTACAGGATCTGGGTGTGTCTGGGACTTTCCCTCTCGATGTCCCTGCTGTCCCAATGTGGATGCTCACAGGCATCTAATCGGAACAGTGAGGCACATGCTCACCGTAGCCACGTGGAGTGCGCTTCCCTTCACACACCTGCACTTCACACCTGTCCGTCCTGAGGGTGCCTTTGTCCAGAGTGTTCCTTCCTACCTGAACGCTTCTCCTGTCTGATGCCTCCCATCTGTTTCTCCAACCTCCCCAACACACCTCTCTGCCCTGCCCCCACCCTGGACACGCTCAGCCATACGGCCTCAGAGTAATGACTTCCCTGTTCAGGCAGCGTGTCAGGGGTCGGGGCGCTGTGCGTCTTTGGGTCTGTGTCCAGCATGCTAGCAGCGTCTGACAGAATGCTGGGTGTGCCTACTGTGGAGGGTTAGAACAGCTCAGCCCTAGCAAGGCACGTGCACCTTCCTGAGACTGCAGGGCAGAGTGGCAGCAGAGCCAGCAGTGGGGCTCGTGGTGCCCTTCTCACTGTTGACGGCATGGCTGGCAGCTGCAGGAGCAGTCGAGGCTTACACTGCCTATGTGGTCACCCTCCAAGCACAGCAGGAAAGCCACTGGCACCGCAGGAGGTGCTCCAGAGTGGCGAGGAGACTGATAAAGCTGCGGATCGCACGAGTTTGTTGAACACAAAATGCAGCCGTGATGATGATACCTAACTTGCTAAACTATGTGCACTTGTTTTTGAGAAAGCAGGCTTCGTCAAGAGCACAGAAAAGCTCCCGCAGTGGGAGGGGATCCGAGGGGGTTGCCCTATGTGCACTTTTTATTATTTACCCAGAACATAGAATCTGTGGCACAACTGCCAGCTTTTCTAATTTTGTAATTGCTTTTTTTGGAATCCTTTCACATGCCATGGAGGATGTAGAAAATAGGGACTTTATACTTTTAATTGTTTAAAATGTGTCATTCAGAGCTCTGACTGGATGTCTGTTTTCCTTGCCATTTTCATAGCGCCGTCTTGGAGATGCAGCCAAGAAAGCCATCAGCAAGCTGACGACCAGAACGGTGAAGAAGGGCGACAAGGTGTGTGTGCGGGGCCGGCGCTGCAGGACTGTCTCCGCGCCTGGCGTTGCTCAGTGGGAGACGGCACGCTCCGGCTGTCTGCGTCCGATTTGTTAAATGACTGCCTCTCTCCACTTTTACCACCCATGCTGTGTTTTAAACTACGTTCTCTTTGGGTCTTGGCCTGCCTGTGCTCAGAAGCCCTCCAGACAGCCCCCACCTTTCCTGGACATGAAATGTTCCCACCATTGTTAGCTTACTAGGCTACTTACAGCCGCTGTGGAGTTTTCTCCCGAAACCTAGCATACCTTTCCAAAGAATTCTACTGGGGACACTTTGTCAGTTGAGTAGCCAGGAGATGTGTGTTTTCTTCCTGTGAAGTCACTGTGTCTTTTGTGTTTTGTTCCATCAGCAGTTGACTGTGGAGACCGACCGCTGTAGGAGGCCCACCCGTAAGGTGCTCTTGTTACTGGGGGTTAAGCACAGTTTGTCAGGGTTGGGCCTCCTGGCTTGGGGAACCGCATCAGAGAGGACCATGAGAAGCTGTGGAGAGACCTCTCACCAGTGTTTCCCCATGAGAGCACAGCTTAGGGTGGAGCCAGATTCTCCTCTAGAAGGTCAAGTTTGTTTCTTAGTGGTAGACTCCACATTCCGTGAGTTCAAGGTTATCTAGGGTAAAAAACTCGCGACTCGAAAATCATAAAACCAAAACAGTCTCCTGCCCCACACCGTACTCTACTGCTTAAAAGTCAAGAGCTCCATCTGGGAGGAGGATTTCAGATTACTTGAGAGGGTTCCCCGTCCTGAGTTCTACTGCTTTCTTGGACTGCACCCATTTTATTCCAGTTGTGTTGACACTGCTGAGTCTGATTGCCTTCGACTTGCTTCAGAAGGTAGAGACATTCTCGGTGAGCTTCCCTGCCCACGAAGGAAAGAGAAGGGAAAACAGATCACTTGCAGAAAAAAAAGGCAGCATCAGAACAGTTCGCCCTCATGCCAGAGCAGTGGCAGCCAGGCCGGCTCTTGTGACTATAAGCTTGCCGCTGCCTCACCTGTTGGCAGTTTCCTGGAGCTGCCTCAACCTCCCAGACTGGCGCAAAGCATGAGTCTCTTTCGTCAGAACGCCAGTACATTGTAGTCTTGCCTCCCAGATCTGCCAGAGTTGCCCACTGGGCGCCCGACCAGGTGGGATGGCCCAGCAGGCGGTCCCTTCTCCTCTGGCTCAGGTTTCTGCCATGTTTTGCTTTGTGAAAACTCTGGCAGAACCTCCCCCAGCTCCAGCCTAGGGGAAAGGAAGCCAGTTAACCTGGTAACGGAGCACCTGGCTAACTCTTATCTGCCCTGCACGACACACCGTTCTGTCTTGGTGGACTTCTGATAGCAGCCCTCGGGGCCCTCTGTCCTGCCTGCACTGAGAAAGCATCAGGTCAGCACCCAGAGAATCCCCAGACTATGGGGCATGTCCATGAAACCCATCCAGATGAACTAGTGATTCAGGAAAAATGAGGTGGTTGATGGTGACCCAGAGTGCCCACTGGTCTGAATCCTGAGAAAACTGGAATTCTGATTTGTGTATTCTAAGATGTATCCTAAACAGAAGGAGCATAAATGGTGACGACATGGCTTTAAAACCGCACAAGCGGACGCAGATCAAACTTAGGGTGGTGTACGTAAGCAGGCAGAATGTGGTATCTCAGTCGCCTCGGCACCGCTGCCGCTTGCTCACCACGGTTGCACAAGAAAGTTCTTAGCCAAACACATCTCACCGTTGGTATACTTCCAGCACGTGACTGTTCCTGTGGTTTCATTATAGGAAACTGACCCAGACTTCGACCACTGTGCCGTCTGCATAGAGAGTTACAAGCAGAATGATGTTGTCCGGATCCTGCCCTGCAAGTACGTGACTGTTTGGTGGGAGTGGTTGGACGTGCTCTGTGTCTTCCTCTGGGTGTCCCCCTGCTCTTAGCACCACCTCCAGCATGACCTCCTGCAGGCCAGAGCTTCTGTGCATGCCCATGGGGCCGAGACCAGCATTTAGCGGCCACTCCCAGGTCAAGAATTTGTATTCTGTAATTTGGAGTTTTTTGTTTGTTCTTTGAGAGGCAGGGGTCTCTCTATGTCACCCAGGCTAGCCTCAGGCTCCTGGGAGTAGGTGATCCATAGGTGATCCTCCTGTCCCAGCCTCCCGAGTATCTAGGACTACAGGCGCATGCCATCCTAGCCAGCATCATCTTGTGATTTCTGTGGCTTCCAAAAATCGCCCCTCGTCCCTCTCCATCTTAAATCAGAGTGCATCACTGGGCTCTCCAGGGAGACCTGTAGGGCTCACCTGGCCCTGGGTGCAACTCCAGGTTCGTGGATCGTTTCCTTCTGAACCTGGATTATGCAGGTGCGGAGGACTGGTGACAGCCGTGTACCTGCTCAGCTCGGGCCTCTGCTCCGTGCAGGCATGTAGTGTCCTCTGGAGGGGTCCCCCACTCCGAGGGTGTTTCTCCCCGTTACAGAGCAGAGGCAGGGGCCGGTAGCAGACTCCAGGGTCACGCAGGTCAGAGGGGCGGCGCTCAAGCAAGGGCTGCCTCGGAGTCCACACTCCTCCTGGGGGCCATGCTTCTCCAGGTGGCCTCGCTGTGTGCTTGGGACCCAGAGAGAGCAGGCTGCTTGCGGGGTGTGGGCTCCAGGCCCTTCCGCCTCAGACGAGGGAGTGCCACATGGGAGGATGCACGGTTTGGGGCGTGCCGTGGCTGAGAAGCCTAACGCCAGGGCTCTCCCCTTCCTCCTCCCTCCTCTCCTTGGGGCGTCTGCCCGCTCTAGCCGCCCAAGAGCGTGGAGCCGGGGGCGCAGAGGAGAACCGTGTACAGCTGTCCTCGGGAGGCTGCTGCTCTTGACCTATCCACAGAATAACCTGTTTCGAGCCTAGGAAGATCTATTTTGTAAAGAAAAATCATAGAACTGAAGAATCATACGGGCCAGACTCAGTGGCTCAGCACTTTGGGAGGCCGAGGAAAACGGATTGCCTGAGCCCGCGAGTTCGAGACTAGTTCAGGTAATTTGGCGAGACCTCGTCTCTACAAGAAATTAAAAAATTAGCCAGACGTGGTAGCGCGTACCTGTAGTTCTGACTTCGTGGAAGGCTGAGGCAGAAGGATCGCTGGAGCCCAGCAGGTCAACACTGGGATGGCCATGAGAGTGCTGCTACACTCTAGCCTGGGCGACAGAGTAAAACTCCAACTCAAAAAAAAAAGAAGAGCCGGGCTCGGTGGCTCAGCCTGTAATCCCGCACCTTTGGGAGGCTGAGGTGAG